AGCGTTCCCTCCGCGGCCTACTTAGCTATAGGAGTTTGTTGTAGACAACAACCAACAACAACGACAAACAACACATATAACAACAAACAACAACAACAACAACAACAACAACAACAACAACAACAACAACAAAGGACGAGTAGAAGAATGAAGCTGAAGACCACAAGAAAAAGAAGAAGAATGAAGCTGAAGACCACAAGAAAAAGAAGAAGAAGAAGCAAAAGAAGAGAAGAAGTAGGAGTAGGAGGAGGAGGAGGAGGAGGAGGAGAAGAAGAAGAAGAAGAAGAAGAAGAAGAAGAAGAAGAAGAAGAAGAAGAAGAAGAAGAAGAAGAAGAAGAAGAAAGAAGAAGAAGAAGAAGAAGAAGAAGAAGCAGAAGCAGAAGAAGAAGAAGAAGAAGAAGAAGAAGAAGAAGAAGAAAGAAGAAGAAAGAAGGAAGGAAGAAGGAAGAAGGAGAAGAAGAAGAAGAAAGAAGAAGAATGACAATAACCACAACCGCAACCACAACAACGATGATGATAACAATGACGACCACAACCACAACCACAACCACGACCATGACCACAACCGCAACCACAACCACAACCACGACCATGACTATGACCACAACCGCAACCACGATCATGACCACAACCACAACCACGACCATGACCACAACCACAACAACGACCATGACCACAACAACAACAACAACCACGACCGTGACCACAACCACGACCATGACCATGACCATGACCACAACCACAGCCACGACCATGACCGCAACCATAACAGCCACAACTACCACCAGCATAACCAGAACTACAATTGCCACACCCTCAACGACAACCGCCACAATCACCATAACTACTACCACCCACCGCACCCCAACCCCAACCACAACCAGAACCAGAACCACAACAGCCTCAACCACAACCACAAGTAGAAGAAGAAAAATGAAGAAGAAAGCCGAAGAAGAAGAAGAACAACAAGAAGAAGCAGAGGAGGAAGAGGAAGAGGAGGACGAGGACGAGGACGAGGACGAGGACGAGGAGAAGAAGAAGAAGAAGAGGAATGGCAAGGAGTGGGAAGGGCAGGAGACACATGGGGCAGCCAGCACTCATCCCCAGTGTTACTGGGTCCAGAGCACGCCCCCTATCATTTTGCACTGGGGTCACCTGGGGTCTTGCCTGGAGCCATGCACCCATGCTACCTAGACTCGATCCCCAAGCAGTCAGTCGGGTTGACTGCGGTTACATACAGATCAATTGGGGTTGACTGTGCCCGAGCTGCATGGCTGGTAAGCTCATGTGCTTATCAAAGTCTTTGTTGTCTGGCGTTTTCTCGCTGACATGGTTGAGAGCTGGAATTAGCTCATGTGGGACTTGATCCACCTCAACCAACTTTGCTTCAGACTTCGACTGGATGAACTGGTCGATGTACCTTTCTAGCCAACTTTTCAATAATAACAAAAAGAAACACCTTGTGGTCCTGGATTCACTCTACCGTCTTCCACCTGAATAGAATGTACGGTCATTATCGATGTATCTAGACTGCATGGTGCCCCAAGTATACGTTCTATTTGGGGGGAGACAGTAGTAATACGCTATTTTTTCTGTGAACAGCATCAATGAAAAACAGAATCTGGCTATACGCGGGAACCTCTGAGGGCACGAGCAAAACAATGAATGCATCTTGTCAGTCCGTTTTGGCGTACCTACTTACGTACCTCGTACAGTTGGATTTTTTGATGACCCTGTTCTCCTTGAAATGTCTCTATGAATGGAGCAATCCAAGAGTTCACCATTGCCTGTTTCACAAAGACACAGGAGCAACTTCAAACTTCAAACAAGTGAAGGCATCACCAGCATACATCATCGTCTTCTGCAGTCGACATCTTCCACAACTGAAAGTACTTCACTTAAGTTCATTGACAACCAAGAAAAAAAAAAGAAAAAAGATGAAATCCAAACATTATGCAACGAGCCCAATGCAAGGAAAATGAGCAATAGCGAAATGACAGAATTCCAGCTTGCAAAATCACAATGAAAGTCAGATAGTCGTAAAGCTGTCCAGAAAGCAGAAATGCACTGATATTACACCGAAGGAGAACCAAAGCAGCGAACTCAATTGTCAATGAAAGCCTGCTTTCACCACCACCAACAACAACAATGTTATCGAGGCTCTCCCTCTACCAGCGCTCAGCGCCCAGACTACAATCACACAGCTACACTACTCTCTCACAAAATGATGAAGCAACCAGTTGACGTCAGCAACAGCAGCCGCAGTACATGCAAATGTCGACCATGTAGACGTCCGCCAAGACCAGGTACGTAATCGGGACCTGTGGATCCCGAATAACGTCCCGACACTTGAGAGCCGGTATATAGCCAAGTTGTGCACGACAGAGAAATCCGGAGAAAGGAGACAAGAGAGAGAGAAAAGACGAAGGACTAGGACGGGACCGTCGGGAGGAATGATGCCTTGGGCTGAGTACCGCAGAGTGAAGGACCCGGCAATGGCAAGCAAGTGAGTGACAGGACGTGGGCGCATAGGGACATAGCATGGGGCCAGGAGGGCCATTCGAATTTGGCATGGCAAGGACCCGAGGGGCCATGAAGTGAGCAAGCGGGGCGCGGCAGACGACAAGAGAATAATGAAACCAAAAGGTGGACAGCCCTGGTGGCCGCGGGACACTAGAGATTAAGGGCCCAACATGGGGGCCACCACCGACAATTAACGGAAACCACGGATTGGAGGCCCCGCGGTCGGAGAGACCGGCACGCGCAAGGCTCGAGAAAAGACAGAGAAAGGGGGCCACCATAGGGCGGTAGACGCCAAAAGAAACCGAGACGCTGTCGAGCGCATCGGTTCGACACCGCACAAGGCAGTGCGGGACCCTCCCGGCCGCGTCACGCAGGAGTTGGTCTGATCCTCGTCGCAAATGCATATGGAGCTTCCGCAAGCCGCTCCGGCCGAGTGCGCCAGCCTTACCTCTCGCCACTACGACAGGATGGGCCTACTGCGAGGATCAGGGTCCTCGGTAGGCCTAAGGGGCCCTATTTGCAGCATTGCCCGCCCTCAGTGAAGGCGGGCGTGACATATCGCAAGAGGCCCTCGACTGTCAATTTCATATTTGGGGTCCAGGAAGTTGCGACGCGCCAGTTGGTTGAGAGAAACTCAAGCCGGGCCACAAAGACATTTCCACGGCCCTCCGGGCTTTTCCAAAGAATGCAGGCCCTGGGCGTGATTCGCAGCCTCATACAGAGACAGTTGGGCGTCCAACCGAACGAGGCCCAGCAGCCCAGTAGCTGCTGTACACGGGCAGCCTCCTAGGGCCTTCCGGAAGCTTTTGGGCCCAGGCCAGTGCAGCCAGGCTGCGCAAGCAGGCCAGCTCTTTCCGTAAAGGAAAGGGCTCTCCCTTGGCATTGGCATTCGGTCACTTGCTGGCTGGCGGCAGCGCTGCTGGAGCAATTGCTTGCAGGCTGGCTGCCGACATTGGAGCAAGAGGCTGCGCACGTGCGGTCGTGTGTGGGAGCAGGGCGCTGCTGAGGGCAGCGCCATAGCCAGACTCCATAGCGGGCTGGGCTTGGATACACAGTGAGGCGCAGGGGTGGTCTTCGGGTGCAAGAGAGGACAGGTGTGATGATGATGTGAGGGCACTTACCTTGTATTGGCGATGGTCAGCATGGGCGACATCTTCAAGTACTTCGGGCTGCCGCTGATGTCAACAGTTGCATTGTCATTTCGTAGTCTGTAGTAGCTGTGTAGGAGTAGGCTGGGCGCTGAGCGCCAAGTGTGAGTGTGAAGGAACTGGACTCTTGYGTTRRRAGGAGAGAGTATGCTCTCCATGAACATTGGTTTTCAGTGCTACGAACCTCCATTGGTGTATTATTGGTGCAATGCTGCTCTCTGGACACGGTGTGACTATCTGGCTTTCAATGTGATGGTGTGATCTGGAATTGTCATCTCGCTGCTGCTTATTTTCCTTGCAATTTGGTATCGGAGCTGGTTCATATTGCGCTTCATTGGTTCTTCGCAATAGCTATTGGTGCTTCGCATGAGGTGTGGGGCAGTGATAAGGCATTGGCGTTGAACAATAGGCGGCCTAGGGTAGAGTGGGCGCGCCAGGGAGCTATGTGGTGAGATACGGGGTGTATGCTGGATGATGAGAGCTCGCTGATGTGGCATATTAAGCCGAGGTGGAACCGGATTCTGCTGTTGTTTGTGCCGAGGCAAGGACCGGTCATCATAATTGCACATCAGGTTGTCGGTGAGAAATTTGTGGTTGGGGGCAGCATTTATGAGGTACGTTGCTCTCTTCCTTATCTACCCTCTTCGTTACTTCTTACCGCGAGGAAGTGAGTCCTGTCTTGAGAGTCCTCTCGATGTGAGGTGTCGCGAGCACTCAACCTTAAGAGTCGACATTCTTCCTGGGCAGCAAGCAGGTGGGAGATGGGCGAAGCCTAGGAAGGGCCCTGGACGAAACACTCGGGTCATGGTCACCATGCCAACCCGCTGGGACTAGTACACGCATGCTTTGCCGCAAGTCCTTGGTTCTGCTGCTTGCGCAATAGAGGTCATGCAGGGCATGCCAACCCTTTGGGACAGACGCTTTCCAGACCGTCTTTAAACATTTCTGGCTGGGGACTCGGATTTGAATCTGGCTGTGATCGTCGTCCTGTCTGGGACGTTAAACAATTCCTGAGGAGATGGGGGCTCTCCTTAAATCCCTCCTTATCAGCCAGATCAACCGGGTGTAAGGCTCGTTGCATGCGAGGGTAAATAAAGTGCAGGGGCTGGCAGGTTCGGCGTTGACTTGGGGCACAGGGGTGGGGCGGATTGCACACCTTCAGACACGCTGCTCAACCAGATGCTCAGGACGTTGACACAAAGAGACCACTCAAGAAGGATACAGGGGGAGGGGGGATTCCGGTAACTGTTCGTGGTGGCAATCAA